CCTGATCATATGATCCGCTCTGTGCTATCGTGTCTCTGTTTGGACCGGAGCTGCGGCAGGTTCGTGTGACCAGACTTCATTCTGAATCGTTCCCAATCCCCTAGTGCACATATGTGCCATTCATGTAAAACAGTAAATGTTTGAACAAGTGACTCATTCCAGCCGCAGCTTCAGCGTATTTGTAATGTAGGGGGCGGGGCTTCATATTCTAGAGAGCATTTGATTGGACAGAAAATCTGATGAGAAGCTGAAGTGCAGAGTGATGTCATCAAAATCATTGATATATTGGATGATTAATAAGTGATAGACTAAGTTTTGAATATATCTTCTAAATGCAAATTCTGTCATTGTTTTATAAGCAGACTAGCTTATAGATAACAGTAAGGCTATTCATACTAAAAGCAAAACAAAAAAAACATAAATTTTGATTTCATAGCGACTTTAAAGTCATTGGAACTGTGACTTTAATCGTCTACCGCCTGTAAACTGTTAGTGTCTTGTTCAAGCGGTGCATTTGCAAAAATTGTTTATGATTCATTGAACAAGCATGAAAAACATTGCTTAAACCCTACAAATTAGGATATGTGAAGCTTATTTAAGATATAATTTTTTGTCCGTTATACACCGGAATCCTCATCCAAATAACAATATGCCCAATATCAGTTCTAAAGAGAAAAAACAGCACTATTTTAGCTCATAATACTTCTATTCATCATTAGGCCATTACACACCTTTATGATTCATGGCCTCTGAATTTGCTGATTTTCCCTGGAGGTTATTGGCAGGAATGCCCAGTCAGCAGGCCCAAAGAGGGAGGCACAGCATTCTTTTTTTGGATAGGAGTCCCTCTTCCTGGCAGCGGGTGTCCCCCACCCTGAGTTTGAGGAAAAGCCCACAAAGGGATATGTTTATGGAGTTCAGTAGGTCTGGGGTGCATTGTTTGGGATACAATGCCGGGACTGACTGGAGCCAAACCCCCAGATCAAACGCCAGGGTGGGCTGCCCACTGACTGGCCGGCGGCCAGACCGATAGGGACATGTCTGGGCACGCGTGCTCTAATCAGTCACCCGCCCGCCAGCCCGAGTGCTCGGGGAATAAGGAACATTGCTTGTTTAGTCTCTAGGGATGTCCAGCCCAGATATGGGTTCCAATTTGTCCCAAGCTTTTTGTTATAACCCTCGCATCCATTTCCTTAGTTTCCAACTTTCCAACATATGCACGAAACATGCAAATACACAATTTGGGGAACACAAAAGGATAGCGAGGTGATTGAGAAATGATTTTTGTCATTAACAGAACAGCTCCAGAAAGTCAGATTCTGTCATTATTTTTTTCATTTACTAACTGTTATCTTTGCCATATAATCTGCTAGTCTGTCAATTTACAATATAACCAAAAAAAACATATACCTATATCAAAAATATGACTCATGCACAAAAAGTATTCTGAAGTCAAATGATATTTTTTGTGAGGAACATACCAAATTTAAGGTCGTTGTTCGTTAAAAATAGTCCCCTTTTGCTGCAGTTTTCAAATTCTTTGTATTTAAACTGAATGGGGTTTGATTAGTTTATAATTTAATTAAAATGGATGTTCTTTTTGTCAGGATAAAGTTGAATATTTATTGCACTTTTGAGGTCAAGGAAAAGTGAGTTCCTTTGGGTGCTGTATTGTGGGTGGAGAGATGAAAGCTGACAGATAGTGATGGAAAACAAAAGATAACCTCTATTGTTTTTCTTATAAACTCGCCGTCTATCTTTTTACCTCACTGGCAATGGCCTTCAACTGTTTTTAACGCATAAACATGGTGTTTAAACATAGTTGAAATGTAGCAAAGCAATAAAACAATTTCCATAGACTTGCAAGATACTCTACAATAGCTGTTTCATATTTTGTGCTTCACAATCACTGTTTAAATGTATCTTAACCCTGTAAAGCCTGACATATTAAAAAAGTTTATTGAGCTTCTAAACTATATATATTTTTAAAGCAGGTCTTTTTGTTGTGCATCAAAAAAAAAATTATGAGTATCGAAAAATATGCAGTTTGGGGCAGATGGTGATACTAATGATTCTGATAGAAATTCTGCTTGTAATAACAGACTACTTACATAAAATGCATATAAATATCAATCCCAATAAGATCTTATAGTAAGATGATAATTAGTTTTATGATTAAAGCTCTGTAGTTTTAAAACAAATAATGCAGTGCAATGCAATGAGTGAGAGATGAACAAATAACCATTCCTCAAAAGCCTGATAGATTATGATACTCAAATCTGAACATGATTTTTCAAAAAATGTGAGGTTAATCAAGGTTAATCAACTTGAACCTAATTTGTTTCAGCAAGTGATCATCTTTAAATATTACTATAAAAGTGAAGTATATTCCATGGTTTAAAAAAGTGTGAAAACTAGCCCCGCTCTCTCACATGATAGATTGTTGACATTTCAGTAACCTGCCAATCGCATTCATTACTTTCCCTGGAAAATTGCACAATTTTATTGTTACAAGAAGAAGTTCCTTTATATTGTATTTGAGGCATGCAGCATTATGAGCACTTAAAGCTCAGGAGAATTCCTGTTGCTCAAAACCAGTAGTGTTATTGCATATGGCAGGCGAACCACATGTCCTTCCTTCAGCAAGCATACAGAGGCAAATTACTATTATACCAAGAACAATAGTTATCAAACACCGCCGTGTTCTCCAAGATGCTTTAGATGTTATGTTAGATTAGATGCCATGCGCTCATTTATAGTCTAGGGGGAGAAGGCACAAAACTCGGAACTGCTTTTGTGTGCTCCAAAAGAGAAACTTCACTCACAAGTGTTGCAGTCCGAGCGACATTGACGTGAGTAAAACAAACAGAGCTATTGTGAAGCTCAAATGGCTCATTTGACATTCTGATGAAACTATTTTTGGTAAAGGACTCGGCAATCGGAGAAAAGGGAACTATGCACACAAATGAGGAATTTCTTTCTGTAACATATTGGCACATCAAGAATAACAACCCAGACGTAAAATACTGTCAGACTGCTAATGTTGGGTGTGTGTGTTGCAACTTGCAAATGTTGCGACAATTTATTTCTTTTCAACATCTTATTCTGAAAATACAAAGGGTGACTCTTTATGTTGCTAAATGAAGAAAAAAAAAAGAATAATAATCTAGCGCTGTCAAATCGATTAATCGGGATTAATCACATCGAACATAAAAGTTGGTGTTTATATAATATATGTATATATATTATTATATTTATTATATGTGTGTGTGTCTGTATCTGTGTATATATACATATACACACATATAAAGTATATATTTATATATGTGCATACAATATATACAGTATGTGTGTGTGTGTGTGTGTGTGTGTGTGTATACAGTATATACACATACGTACACACAAATATAAACAAACTTTTATCAAGATTAATCGATTTGACAGCCCTATTTCTTGCATAATGACACTACAACTGACTGTTTAACTAATAGCTTCACCACAATGCAATAATTTCAAATAAAATCTATATTTTATGTCAATTTCTTTATTTGGAAAGTAATGTACAGTGCTTTTCACATTGATGTTAATACTTTAATGTTACCAAAAGTTCAAAGTTATTTACAGTGTTTCAAAGCTGTACTATTTCAGAAGTCAACATATTCATCAAGAAGTCATTATTGATCATTTACCCTGGAGAATGTGGTGAATCAGAACTTAGAAAAGTCTGCATATCTGACCATAGAAACCTCGAGCCACAGAGAGAGAGAGAGGGAGAGAAGGATAAACACGCCTCCCTCTATAAACTGTGGATGAAAGTGTTGACACTAGATTCATTTCATCAGAGACATGGACACTGAAGCCGCAGCTCATCAATAAAAATCAAGATACTGTAGATAGAGGACATTCTATCAGTCCAGACATTAAAACAGAGTACAATAAAGTTAGGATTATTTATTATGTTTTATCCGGAATCACGTAATAAAAGTGCAAAATGGACAATGTTCTGACAGGAATTTTGTAGCCAAGATGATGAAGGCTCTTTGGGCATTCAGGTATGAGATGGCATGTTTCTTATAGCCTCCTTTTTATCAGTATCAATACATTTAATATAAATATAGATATAATCACACTGTCATTTGGAGAAATGTTTGTATAATTGCAAAGTTAAGAGAAAATTGAACTGGCCAATATTAGAAAGTATATATTAGCTACTATATGCTTTATATTATTGAATGCACTATACTATAGGAAGTTATGAAAATAGTTCAAATGTGAAAAGTTCATTACATTCTATCATTTACAACTGTTCACCACATATTCTGTTTGTTACTGTTTATGCGTGTGTTTGCTTACACTTAATGCTTTAATGTGTGAAGAGTATCAACAAATAATCAATAATTTAAGTGCAGTGTCAATATACTTCAATTGTTGCATGATTATTTATTTGTGTCTATGTGAGGATTTTTTCTGTGTTTGTTTAAATTGTGACTGGTTGCTGTTGCACCGTTGGCTCCCTTCATGTGATTTATTTAATCATTTAAACGTTAAAAAAAAGAGCAGAAACTAAGCGATTTCTTTTGGAAACCAGTTATAGCTATTTTAGTGTAGGCCTACCTTGTAGCAGATAAATATACGTTTGTTGTTTATTTGTGACTGGCTGTCTGCATATTATCCCTTACACTTATCAGCTACACTTGCATATAGATGGTCTCAAAGCGAAATGAAAAGCTACAAAACTCCTGTTTTGATTTTTTGGAGTCTGTCAGAAAGAATCCCGCTCCGTTCACGCACTTCATCAAATAATTTAAACAAAAGCCCCGCCCCTTTCACAACTAATCTTCCCCTTCACTCGCTTCATTATGTTATTCAAACAGAAGCTCCACCCCCTTCCTACGCAATGCAAACATGGCCCGCCTCTTTCATGTGCTTCACCACCTAATTAACATAACAGCCCCGCCTCCTCCCCCCCTTTCACCACTTCATTTAAATTATAGCCCCGCCTCCCTCACGCGCTTCATCCCTCCGTCCGACACCATTCAACGGCTTTAGCTAACGTTAAACGTGCTCCACCGTCCACACGGTCCGCTGCTCACTTTATTGGACCGATATATGGCTCAAAACATTAGCGTTATCTCTCGTATCGGTGCTTTTGTTACTTTGTGAAAATTCCGCCCAAAAGGAAAAAACGGTTCACCGCAAATGCTCTCGAATTCTCCCATGTAAGTAGCTCTGGGGTTCATAAGCTAACATGTGTCTGCTAGCCTCTTCTTGTATGTAACGTTATTTGACTAAGACAGGTGAAGTTGTTTTAAACACCTATCTTTTTTCAGTCTGAATTAACGCGTTATGTTATAACGTTTTTATGATAAATAACGTACGACTTTAATACCGGTAGCTGCTAGATGGCTAATTGACGGTTAGCAATAAGCCTTTAGTTTAAACCTTATCGCGTGAAATCTTCTGGTGAATAATCACAAGTAAACACTAATGGTATCATTATTATTGTATTATTAATAAACCAAATAGATTTCGCTAATAGCTAGACAGGCATATGAGAAACATTTTGTATTAAATCGGCGAAAAATACTTGTGGAATTGGCGCCTCGTTCATTTCCGGATGTCTTATTTTGATGGTCGTTGTTTTCATTTCATTATTTATGTTTATTGTATTGATTGATTTTATATTCTTTGTGTTGATTGAACGTCAGCTAACCTTCTGGCAAGGTTCTCTCAAAGTCATGAACAAACGTTCTTCCAGGAATATTAATAGAATGTTGATTCAAAGTTGGTCTTTATTAATGTTCTCTCAACTTTAGCACAAGAAATGTCATTTACGGTCTTAATGAAACGGTTTTTTTTTTCTGGAAAAGTGCAGCATTTTACTTGGACCTTTAATGTTGTTGTCTTTTAGTTAGTTTCAAAACGTCCAGACTAGAGAACATTAAAAAGTAACATTCCCATAATGTTTTCAAAATGAGACAAATGTTTTGAACATTCAGAAATAACGTTTTCTTAACTTAATGGGAATATATTTTTGTTAGCTGGGAATCGTCTTTATTTTATGTTTGTTTGTTTTATTCTCCACCCATACAGCTTATTAACGTCTGTACATGTTTCACTCCTGTCATAATCCTAATTAAAGGGTTAGTTCACCCAAAAATGAAAATGATCCCATAGTTTACTCACCCTCAGGCCATCCTAGGTGTATTTGAGTCAGTTATGTTACAAAAATATCCTGGCTCTTCCAAGCTTAATAATGGGAGTGAATGGTACCTTTTTTTTTGAAGCCCAAAAAGTGCATCCATCCAGCAAAAAATACAACTCCAGGGGGTTATGTCCTTCTGAAGCGAAGCCATGCGTTTTTGTTTGAAAAATATCCATATTTATAACTTGATTTATTTTGAAATGTTTGTATTGTTTATTTTCTGCATGTGATTATCTGTCAATATTAATTCCTACTTTATATGTACTATATAGCTCTATTTTGACACTTCTCTTTTACGATTAATTTTTTCTTGCAGGTGTTCTTGAACTACGAGAACAGCTTAGGGACTTCTGTCTACCGTGACCAGTTTGATTTCAACGCGGAGCCTCCTTGGGATCCTAGCTGATAGCTGGAGAGGTCGCCCTCTGACCTGTCCCTGTAGGTTCACATTGCTGTAACCTCACTTATGGTGTTTTACCATAACTTGCATACGCTTCAAGTGCAACAGGAAGTTCTGATTTTGGTCATACTGCCCACCTATTCTACAAAGCAGTTGCAATTCAGTCTTTAGCTGTTTTTGGACCTGCTTTGAGAATGGATTGTCAGGGTCAGTGACTCTTCCGATCGATGTCCACTGCAGGAGTCTTTCTGCTTTGGTGTCAAACATGATATTGTGACATTGAATGTGTCAAAGCCAATTTTACTGTTTATATAACAGCGAATAAAAAGCTGCAATTCACAGTTGGGGTCCCTGAGCACCAACAGCACGTCAAGTCATTGTTCAACACATTATGCTAGATGTTCTTTTAAAGACTTTATTTTTTGTCTGTTTTGTGTTTGCAGTGGATATCGCTAGGACCCAAGAGCTCTGAGGGTTCTCATAAATAGGGGACCTGCTTTATGCCAGTCAGAACATCAGATTACGGATAAGCATGAAGGGAACTCTGGATGAACTCCACTATTCTGTTGAGCTGCTGGAAGAAAGCGCAGCTCTCAGAGATGTGATCAATAAACACATTCATGATCAAACACTTGTAAGTATAGTATACCATTCTGCTGTGTTGTTGTTTCATTTATTGTTCCTTTTTTGTACTGAGCATTGATGTTTATGTTTGTCTTTAGGCACTGAAGAGTGCGTTTTTTGTTGCTGACCTTGGAGTGATTGTGCGGCAGCAAATTCGCTGGAGAACTAAAATGGACCAGATTCGACCTTTCTACACGGTCAAGAGCAACAGCTGCCCTGTGGTTGTTGAAATCCTGGCTGCTCTTGGAACAGGCTTTGTTTGTTCAAACAAGGTGAACAAAAAGTATAAAATGTCTCATCTCTTTCTAAAACTAGATTCCTTAGTGGCTAAAATAAGTCTCTTTCTTTATTTGTGTCTGTTTGAAAGCTATTTTAAAAATATATTAATACTTTTAAAAATAATATTATAGCCTTCATCTGTTTTGTCTTCTGTGCTTGTCTCTCAGCATGAGCTGGACTTGGTGAAGGTCTTTGGCGTCCCGTCTCAGGACATCATTCTCGGCGGCACATGTAAACAGCTTTCCCATATCAAATACTCAGCCAAACATAACATCCCCCTCCTGGTTTGCGATAATGAGGTGGAGTTGAGGAAGATCGCACGCTGCCATCCCAAAGCAAAGTGAGTTGTCGCTATGCAAACATTTGCAGTAAATTGTCACGATTCTCAGACGATATCCGTGCAGTAGGGTTGGGAATATTTAGGCACATCACGATCCGATTCTGGTAATCATCATCCGATTCTAAAACAATTCATCTACATTTTTTTTTTTTTTCATGCACTGCTTAGTTTTGAGGTTTTGTTCTATTTGGCTTTTCATAATGTGTCATTTCAGACTAGTGAAAAGAAAACATCCAAAATGCACTTTTAAATGTTTATTTCATTGCGCTTTATTTGCATCTGTAGATTTCAATGACAATAAGTATCTTCAGAGCGGTGAGTTTTTTTCTCGTGTCAGAAATCCCCACTTCAGCAGCTTTACATACACCAAACTTTTCTAAAGGGTTTTAGGGGTTTACTTATTTATTTATTAAGGAATTATAGGGGATATTAAGGGGTTTGTTGTTCTTAATATATAATTCGCCTGATTTATAGAACATTTAATTCTGAAAACAAATTTTAGGGGGGAAAATTCTTGCTGTTGACAGTAATTTTGATTTATGGAAGAGATATCCAAAATCCCCTCTGAAAAAAATCCTTTTACTCTACTCTAATGTATCAACAAAATGAAACCATTTTTAACCTAGCTTTATCCAATGTTTAAATTTCTATTCTGGAAACAAATATTTAATTAAACTGCCTCATTTGCAAATTTAAACAACATTTTAGAAAACTTTTGCTTTTGCATATACATTTTTTTGTTTTATATAATTATAGGTACTTAAAATAAAATATATAAAATAAAATAATTACAAATAAATAATAAATGAAATAATTATGTTAAGAATTATTAACAAATTAAATATAGCTTTAAAACATACAAGTTAAAAAGGGGAATTACAAGCAATGAAGAAAAAGTGCATTACAGATAAGGACTGTGAGGGATTTTTCTCAGCATTATTGCTGTTTACATATTACTGGTGATATCATAGACAGCGACAAGTCTAATAGGCTGCGTTCACAGAAATGCACAGGGTTTTTTAGCACTAACCTTCATCTTGAACTTGCTTTCTGCCACAGGGTGTTACTGCTGTTGACATCAGAGAGCTGTTGTGAGAGAGAGGAGACGGCCATACCGTTCGGCTCCACGCTGAAGGACTGCAGACACCTGCTGGAGTGTGCCAGAGAGCTCAGCCTGCACGTTACCGGAGTCAAGTGAGTCTGTCTTCAGTGTGTAGAGGACATTTACAGAGCCCCTAAAGGGAGATGGTGATGGGAAAAAATATTGGCGGTATATCGAGTTTATACAACATGTCGATATATTTTTATAAACTATATAGGATGAGCCAATGCCTTTCATATGGATATACAGTAGTTTGATATTATGAGTGCATCTGAAAAATAGCGCAGAAAGTGCATAATCCAATTTGTAATAAACATGAGACATGCTTTATATTAAGGGCTTCAGAATAACTCATAAGTTATAATTAACACGTACCATAAAAATTCAAGTAATAGCCGAGTCCCAAATAGACGCCTGTCTCTTTTACACGCCTGGTGTGGCTACAGGTTTGGGTAAATAAAAGCCGGTCTCAAATAGAGGCCGGGTCTGTTTTTTAGTTTCGGGTTGTGTTTAATCTTCTAAAACACGTCAGATCGTCCGCTTTTTGGCGGCCGCCAAAGCACATTTTTGTCCCACCAAAGCCTTTTTTTAACGGGGAGTGATGTAGAATAGAATGACTGCTGCGCTTGACAGGGCGCACGAGCAGAGAGAGAGAGAGAGAGCCCCGCACGCGCGCGCACTCTCGCATCTTCAAACAACACGAGCGCTGTCTTGCTCTCTCTCCCTAATCAAAATCAATTGACACGATAGTAAAAGGTTGGAAGACCGCAGTTTCACGTGGAGCATTTGGAGATTTTTAGAGATTTTTAGAGATTAGAGACTCTAGGCCTACACTCAATGAACAACATCTCAACTAGAGATGTTCCGATACCCTTTTTTCCCTTCCCGATACCGATTCCGATACCTGGACTCAGGGTATCGGCCGATACCGAGTACCGATCCGATACCTGGGTCTGTACAGTATCTATACAGCTGCAATTCATACTAGCACTGTATGAATTGATAGAATTATTTTATGGTGTGCTTCAGACTAATCCCTTAATTAAACATGAGCAAATACATAGAGTGAACTAGAGTATTTTTATTATCTGACATACATTTCACAGCAATATATTATTTATCTTTCTTAAGTGAAAAAGAACTTAAAATGCAGCCACACATCTAATACTGTAAACTGAAAAAAGGTATTTTAGATTTACAATATATAACTGTATAAAAAAAGTGCATCAAATAAATCTAGGAATCTAAAAAAATGATATATGAATAATTAGGGGTGTGACGGTTATTATATAACCGTGAGACCGACGGTTATAGTTGAACACCGTCATTAGAACTCTATAACCGCCAAAACTGTGCTATTAAAATATTTTTTACAAACATTTTTTATCATAGAGAATGTTTAAATACTAATATCAGCTTAAGAGGGAAACGGAGGCTGCTACTGCTGGAGATGATTCGGGAGAGGTCTGTGCACCTTTACCGATCAGAGCACGCGCTGATACGGAGTAAAGCCTTGTTTATACTCGACGCGTCCGCACGATCGCGAAGGTGCGCGCGGCAAAAATGACGCGTTCGGTGCGCAAGACCGGCAAGACCCCATTTGGCTTGGCTGTGTGTTTATATCTATGGGCTGTGTGCACGGCTTTTTTTTGTAACAGCGCGCGCGGCGCCGCGTCCGAATCATAGACTTCAAGCCGAATCTGCCCGAGCATGCACGTCTCACCGCACCGGCACGCAGTTTGCGCGTCTAAATTGCAAAGTTCATTCCAAAGTTTTTTCGTTAAGGTTTTGTTACTGTGTGTGACTTATAAAAAAAAAAAGCACGTTCATTGCAACGTTTGTTTTGTTAGTTAAGGATTTGTTTACTGTGTGATAGGCCTACATTTAATGGAAAGCACATTCACTTCTAGTTGTCTTGCTGTTCATGTTAAATAAACGTAGAGCTAGTAGCTAATCAGTGTCTGCTTGTTTATTCAAACTAAGTTGTCCTATAACAGACGAACAGTTATTATAGGACATAACTGTCCCACCCCCCCGACGACGGTTATGTTATGAACCGTCACCTTTGACTCACGTCATAACCGTCATCACCAATTCTGAAACCGGCACACCCCTATAAATAAAATAAGAAAATTATCTCTCCATAATTTAAGGTCCATAAACAGTTTTGTTAAATAAACGGCATTTCAGTTTTGACATCGGCTGGTCATCCAGAATAATAAACTTAATAACTTACATGTTGTGTCGGTTATATTTATGATAGCTCGTTGGCTGTCTTTTGAAAACATTTCTCTTCGTTTGAATGAAGCTTTCAGAGATTGTTGATTCTGGCGCGGCTCATCCTTCTCTGCCATTGCCTTTGTGTAATCGTGTTCTGCGGGGCTACTCGGTGTTACTTGAAGTTGCTAATACTTGTTCCACCCCTCGAAATTGCAGTATGGCATATGAGACATGTCGCTGTTTTACTACCTGGTTGTCCAGTCTGAAATACTGCTAAACAGCGGACATACAGCATGGCGCGCGCGCGCGTTTTCTTCTTCGCTGCTCTAAACAGTGGTTGCTTGTGTGGCAACAGCACGACTTCCTGTGTTGCCACAAGCAACCACTGTTTAGAGCAGCAAAGAAGAATTGAGCTCCGATTTGCAGCGTTACGCAAAGCTAGCGTGCATAACTAGTTATTGTTTAAGAAAATGGTATCGGATCGGTACGCGGATAGAAGTACTCGCCGATACCGATGCCAGAATTTTTATTGGTATCGGCGGCATTTCCGATACTAGTATCGGAATCGGAACAACTCTAATCTCAACACTAAATTATAAAGGCCTGTCTCATATAGACGCCTGTCTCAAATACAAGCCGGTGCAGTTCGACGATTTGGGAAAATAAAAGCCCGGGCTATTATTTGAAGGTTTACGGTAGTTTAATGCAGCTTGCTCTGACAGATAGGCTGCTTGTGCTGTTTAATGTGTTGGAGATGTGGTGTTTTCCTCTGTGCATAACTTATTCTCCATCTGGAAAAGTCATGCAAATGTTTCCATTTTGCTGTCAGTAGTGGACGAGCCTTATGCTAAACAGACAGAGTGACTAAAATATACATTTTGCTAAAATATTTGTTTTTGGATATTAAAAGTACAGTATGTAACAGTAAATCGCCACTAGAGGTCACTTATTCAAAACAATAACTAAGGCGTAGCTTGATGTCGCCATGAATGTGTGGCTGTGGACACCAAAAAGCATATGGCATAACCTTTAGTATGAACAATGTTTATAGGACAACATTGGGCAGGATGTGAATTTATGTATTTATTTTTAATAAATAGACAAAAATGTGGGTCTTTTTTTATCAGAGTAGAAAATACCGATATATCGCCAATGAGCCAAAAAAATATATGATTTTCTTTTCTTTTTTTTTCATTTTGCTCAGTCCACTTGCATGCCATGTGACCATTAACTGACAGCATGAACATGCAAATTATTATACAAGTATTAACTTATTCACAAGGGGAACTTAAAGAAAATATTTGACGTCTCTGGGGTTTGGATGATAAAAAAAAAGTTTGGGAACTCCTGCATTAGATATTAGATAAAGCAAGTGTGTAAACAAATGACGATAGAGCTTTTCTCAGAACCATCTTAATTTTTCACATGAACCGGCTCTGAGTCATGCAGTTATGCCAAGAGCATTTATAAAGGAAGGAAATGAGGTAGGTTTTGATTTCATGCTGTTGGTTTCATGCTCTGCTCACAGATTCAACATTCCCAGTTGTTGTCAGGATGCACAAGCGTTCTCTCGTGCTGTGTCTGATGCCCGCTGTGTCTTTGATATGGGGGTGAGTCAACGCTCATGGAGTCATGGATCAAATTTTGATTTGATTGTTCCTTTTGTGCCATGAGTTTCCCTACTGAATCAAGAGGGAATGATCTTTATTAATCTAAATGTCACTTTTGCTGCAGACTGCATAAGTATTTATTTCCCCCATGGTAATGTGTTATAAATGAATTTGATCTTAGGAGGAGCTAGGCTTTGAGATGAATATTCTGGACATTGGAGCTGGCTTTGATGGAAGTGAAGCACAGTTAGACAAGGTAATGTATTCTGCTTTAAATTTGTAAGATTTTTTTTTGCATTCATAAATGCGTTCCCCCTGAGCTTCTAATGTTGTTTTTGTGTGCAGGTTCACCAGATGCTTAAACCCATGCTGGACATGTATTTTCCTCCCTCGACCAGCTTGTCGATCATCGCCGAACCCGGAGCTTATTATGTGTCATCTGCTTTCACGCTGGCCGTGAATATAATCGCTAAGGAAACAGTGGCTCGGGATTGCAGCGGTCAACCACACAGTGAGTACTAGTCAATGTTCATGTCACATATCCATGATATATTGTGGCTTTTATTTTGATGGGGATAAATTGACATAAATATTGGATCATCAAAAAGATATGTAAATACATGGTAGCTCTTTATTTTACAATGTTAAACATGTTAAATGTACACTTACATAATGTATCAGAATGGTTAATGCGTTTTATGTATCGCTCTCTATGTCGGACACATAATTGTAAGTAACATGATTAGCATTTTCTACAGCTGTCTTCGAAAAATCAGCATCCTTACAAACGCTTAGAAAAACTTAGAACGTCAGTGGAGAAAGGCATATAGTCCTCATCATGCATCATAACATTGTAAGAGACCTCATATACATAATCTACTCACTATATTGCTAAATGTACCAGATTTTTTTTTTTTTCACCTGGCTTTTCTTAAGGCCCCCCCTGCTTTACAGCAGTTAATGATATGCTAAAGCCTGCCCGCACGTCCACAGGATTGGTTACAGCAGGTTTGTGACGTAGAGAACAGGCGATTTCAAAGTGTGTTTTTGAGACTGTCTTTGGTTCACTGCAGTTTTAAAGAGAAAATACTCAAACCATGTGAAAATTCATATCTCCACACTATTGCTGTCTTAAAGCTTATTAAAAACACCACATATAATAATATAATAACATATAATATAATAACACCACATATAAACAACATTAAAACCACCACAGAGGGACTTTAAATATGTCTAAAAGGTGATGCATTGATCATCGGGTGTTTATTAAACTCTTTCAGAACTACTGTCAGCAAACGATGAGCCGGAGTTTCTCTACTACATGAATGATGGCGTTTATGGGTCGTTTGCCAATAAGCTGCTGTGTGAAGATTCAATATCGATGCCTTCGGCACACAAGGTAAATATTTTTCAGGTTTTTATAAAGAATGTGACATTGCATATGACTAATCCATAAACATGTACAGATCAAGTAATTTTATATATATATATATATATATATATATATATATATATATATATATATATATAATTGTGTTTGTACCTGCATGGAAAAAAACAAACATTTCAGAATGCATTTCATACATGCATTTTTTCAGTACACATTTTTTTGTGGGGGTGAGATTTTTAAAATAATTTCTTTGAACATCCTCCTTTGTCACTGACCCAATCACAGGCCATTGTTGTTTTAATCTATTGTTGTGGTTAAAGCTGACCGTGATAATGTGCTGTTTTCTCAGGAGATGAGCGCAGAAGAGCCGCTGTTCTCCTGCAGTCTGTGGGGTCCGTCTGCTGATGATCTGGATCAGGTGGTGGAGCGATGTCTGCTGCCCGAGCTCAGTGTAGGAGACTGGCTGCTTTTCAGCAACGCAGGGGCCAACAGTCTGGGGGCCGCATTCACTAACAGAGATGAACACAAACCGCTCGTCTTCTACAGCATCTCCGAATACGACTGGTATGGAGTGAATGTTTGTGTCTTGGTTTCAAAGCTGGTGTGTTTGTGTTGATTTTTAGTCAAATTGTTTTTCTTTGCAGGCAAGAGATTCGTAATTGTGGCGTCAGTTTGGACACAGGGATGAAGAACTTCTCTCTTGGACCATGTTGCCTGCGATCATGCATGTCTGAGGCAGCCATTTCTACCCCAGCTTAACAAAAAGCCACTTATTAATGTCATTGTTCTATAAAGATTGACTTTAAGCGCTTAAGAACCTGAACTCTTCTCAAAAGCTTCTAGGACCAGAGCTGAAGAAGTGTTATTGACCAGAACAACTTCATAGCCATCAGAACTGATGGATATACAGCAAATAGTTATGATTAGCTTTAACAAATGGGCCATTTAGCGTTTACAGATTTACTTAATTTTAATTTTTATAAATATATAAACATTGCATATATTTCCTCTAAGTGAATCAATCATGAACCCAAAAGAGTGAAGTTATTTATTAAACCTCAAGTCTAGTTTCATGACATCATCAGATCCTTTTAAGAAATGTGCACTTGTTTTTGTTATTTGTATTAAGAATATGATGTTTTAAACTGGATAATTGTGATCTTCGTCCTATTTGAACTGTTGCAGTAATAGTGCAGCAGAGCAATGTGTTAAGTGTTTTTGTGGACAAAATACAATGGAAACTTTGTAAATTGTTGTAATCTCACGCCCACAACGCACCTTGTGCAAGTATGCAAATGCCAAGCGTCTTGTACAGTTGTACATATTTGTATGTGTTGCATTTTAAGGAAAGAACATGTGTGCAGTAAGGAATTCATATTGTTATGAACTGTAGATGCATTTTGTAATGTAATATTGCACAAAATTGAGATTGCATAGCTAGAAGGATCTTTCGGGTCTTGAGTTATTGCTTTTCTAAGCTATAGTCTACGAGCTTGAGCTCGGATCTCAAGCATTGTCTCCGCATTACATGTGTTCTGTCCCGGACGTCTCTGCTTTTGTCTCAGAAAGTGTTGAAGATGGTTGGAGTAAGTGGTGCTGGTTGAAATGAGGAAGTGGTGTTGCTCTTTACTTGCAAGAACCAGGCAAGTGCTGTGGTGTCTTACCCTCTTTTGTCAACAGATGAAAAGGAATTTGATATGTGAAATGTGTTTTAGTTTTCAGTGTCAGAGCATAAATTATAGACTGTTTACCATGTACAGATTTGCTGTCAATAAAATGGCATTAAGTGGCATTGTTGCATCATTTTATGTTTCCTTTACTGTAAAAGTTAACTTTTAAACTTGAGTGAGCTAATAGCTAGAAACTTCATTTAGATCATCTTAGGTTAGTGGTCATCTGCTTTAGTACGCTTCTGAGTTACATCTGTTGCAATGTATTTTACAAAATCCGGTTTCAGCGCACAAATGAGATTTGCAAATTGGTATTTCGTCATACTACTGAAAAAACAATGTTTAAAAAAGGCTTTTTCGTTTATTTCTATTTTGCTAAAAACAATCCAACTTCATGGCAGTACATTTAAATGCGAGCAAATAAAAGTAACACTTTAATGTAAAGTCTCATAAGTAAATGCATTACCTGAAAATATATTTGTTGCAGTGTTTAATCGTTGTTAATATTAGTTAATAAAAATACAACTGTTCATTGTTTGTTCATGTTGGCTCAATGCTTTAGAAGTATGTAATGTAGTTAAAGGATTAGTTCACTTTTAAAAAACTTTTGCTGATAATTTACTCACCCCCATGTCATCCAAGATGTCCATGTCTTTCTTTCTTCAGTCGAAAAGAAATTAAGGTTTTTGATTAAAACATTCCAGGATTTTTCTCCATATAATGGACTTTGCTGGGCACCAAACGGTTCAAGGTCCAAAAGACAGTTTCAGTGCAAACTGCAAACTGTTCAAAGGGCTTTAAACGATTCCAGACGATGAATAAGGGTCTTATCAAGCGAAACGATCGCTCATTTAAAAAATAAATAAAGTTTAAGTTTAATAATGTCAAATGCTCGCCTTGCTCTGTTCTGTGATGCACGTTCGTGACTCTCCTGTGCGAACTCATTCATCAAAATGAACAAATCTTTTTTCGAGTCATTTGGTTCATTTAACGAACGAAATGAACGAATTGACTCGGAAAAAGATTCATTCATTTTGATGAACGAGTTCGAACAGGAGAGTTACACAGAACAGAGCAAGGCGAGCATTTGAGCTTATAAAACTTAAACTTTGTTATTTCTTTTTTAAATGAGCGATCGTTTCGCTTGATAAGACCCTTTTTCATCGTCTGGAATCGTTTAAAGCCCTTTGAACAGTTTGCACTGAAACTGTCTTTTGGACCTTGAACCGTTTAGTGCCCAGCAAAGTGCATTATATGGAGAAAAATCCTGGAATGTTTTCATCAAAAACCTTAATTTCTTTTCGACTGAAGAAAGAAAGACATGGACATCTTGGATGACATGGGGGTGAGTAAATTATCAGCAAAAGTTTTTTTAAAAAGTGAACTAATCCTTTAACAAATGTAACCTTACTTTAAAGTGTTATTAAACAATAACAGTGAAATATATGTAAGTTGTGTCTCTTGCGACCATATTTCTAGTAACAAAAAAAACAGGCACGTGAATAACCTGACAACAGATCTGAAGGTTTTAAAGAATATTAGAGTGATTTCTGAAGGATCATGTAAAACTGAAGACTGGAGTAATGATGCTGAAAATTCAGCTTTGATCACAGGAATAAGTTTAAAATATATTCACATAGAAAACACCGGTATTTTAAATTGTATGAATATTTCACAGTACTACTGTATTTTTGAACAAATAAATGCAGCCTTGGTGGGCAGAAGAAACTTCTTTCAAAAGCATAAAAATAATCGTAATTATTCCAACTTTTGAATGGTAGTGTGTGTGTGTATATAAAATAAACGATTTAAAAAAAAAAAAATAGTAAGATGGATACACAAGGACGTCTCCTTGTTTGGGTCTGTCAGCTGTCAGTCTTGGGAGCCAGAGGCTGCAGGGTTCGACAGAGACTGGTGATGTTGTTAAGATGGCAAACCTCCTGCTGCCACACTGGCGTTCTCTTGGCTGTTAGATGGCGGCGTGTGTGTTTTGCCAGGTGATCGCTGCGCACGAAGCGACTGTGGCATACGGGGCAGGCGAAGCGCTTCTCTCCCGTGTGTGTGCGGCGATGACGTGAAAGTTCATCAGATCTGGCAAAGCGCCTCAAGCAGCCGTCCCAGCAGCACCTGAACGGCTTCTCACCTGGAGGACAAGAAATGGACAGGAAACACAACTTTGAGGTTGTTACTTTGCCAATTGAGAAGCACTTATCTAAATCATGCAAGCATATATATATATATATACAGTATATCGTATATACTGTATATTGGCTTAAATGTAAGATGTTAATTGTTTTATGTATATGAATTGCATATAAAATTGAAGTATGACTGACAGATGTCATTAAGTTTGTTAAAACTCTGTATCCCAAACTTCTGGAAATATGACATACAATTTAAATACATACAGTATTGTCCAAAAGTGATGTCCGGAGAGGATTTGTCATGTTTTTAATTGACAATAAAAGTTCAATTAAACCATCAAAATATGACAATATTTTTATTTTATTTTAAATATGAGGGAACAGCAAAAGACTAAACTTGGAATCTGACAAAGTGAAAATTTTACTTTGCAAAAAAAAAAAGAAAAAGAAACATATAAACACAAGAAGTATACATTGACTACAACATAATCAATTATTAACATTTCATTGGTTCTCTCTTGTTTATGCATGCATTCATAGCATCTTTGTATAACAGCTTGATCGGCACAATTTGGCATGTTTCATTGCGTTATCTCAAATAAAACAACCGACTCCAAGCACAACTATGCATTATGCTTACAAAATCGTTAATAATATTTGATTAAAGGTTGAAGGCTCAGATTTTCTAGGCCGGACATCACTTTTGGCCACTATTGAAATCGAATTTAGGCAAGTGCTGAAGAAGCGTCATTCTCTACCTGTGTGTGTCCTCAGGTGTGCTTTCAGGTGGGAGCTTTTGAAGTATGTTTTCCCACAGTGCGGGTGAGTGCAGACATAGTCGCGAGTCCGTGGCGGAGTGGATTCAGATGCGGGTCTGTTTGTGGATGAGTTGTGGAGAGGAGCGGGAGCGATGGCGGGAAACTTCAAACCACATGAAGGTGTTTGTTTAGGGGGCAGGATGACCATGACTGAACCTTTGGTCATCAGACCGGCCACAAAAACCACAGAGGCTTGACAAACGTTTACAGAACCAGCAAAAGATTGAGAGAGTGGAAGCGTCTGGAAGACTGAAACTGATGGCATGCTTCCAGAAGAAGAATCGGACACCACTGCAGCAGGGGCTGATGGGGGATCAGATCTGAGAGGCTGGAGGTTTATTGCTGAGTCACTGGCGCTCTGACTCAGTGCATCTGACGTGTGGCGGATCACACTGATGGCTTGAGATCTGGTGACCCCTGACCCTTGGTGTTGGTCACAGTCAGGACTGTACGGTGGAGTCATGCACGACACGGCCTGAAATAAAATAACGACCAACTCGTGAATGTTTCTAGCCATGGTAAAGTTACATTTATTTTATTATTATAGTTGTACAGTGTTCTGTTCAACTGTTGTGTCTGCCGAGTATTCGCGAATTCGACTAAAATGACATGAGATCAGATATACGCCAATGGAGGAAAAGAAGGAAGAAATGTGGTGCGTGTTATTATTGTAAGTAAACGAGGAAAGGTGGATTAAGCCCATAAAGCTATAGATTGATAATACAGCACTCAGTGGTGAGCAGTTTGGGATTTCAGATGTGATGGGCGGCCGATCGATGTTGTGTGATAATACCATCGCGTGCGTCATTGGAGACTAGCCACACGTTTATCCACCTTTGTCCAGCATATCACACAAACCCATCACGCACACTGAACATCAGGCCTCACTGTTAAAGTGGTCATGTAATGGTACATGCACTTTTACAAGTTGATTGTACTGAAATGTGTGTTGGCAGTGCCTGTACACAACCATTATATAATCATAAAAATCTATCCAGTGTTTTTATTATGGATATCTATGATCAAAACGCCCGCAGAACAGAGGGGCGGAGTCAGCGAAGCTCATTATCATTTAAAGGCATATGCACTGAAACGGCGTGGTGAAAACAGAGCTGTTTTTGACCAGGTAAAATAAGTGTTTTCTTACAATACGAGAATTTTTAATAAAAGTATATTACAAAGTTTTCATTTAGACCCGAAAAATTCATATTAAATGATCATGAGCTTTGCTCACCCCACCTCTCTGTTCTGTGCGTACACATAACGCGTTGTTCATTATAGAGAGCCTAAGTCCCTCCCCTTCCGGTTGACCACCATGGGACCTTATTTTGGAAAAATATTGCATGGTAGTCAATGGCGAGAGACAACAAATATTTTGATCTCGTTTGAATTGTGCCCTGAATTACATATATGATGTTTGTCAATTTAAAAGATACATTTTAAAGTCAAGAAAGTCGCAGTTTGGTGTAAAACTGTTGAGGTATAAGACTGTGAAAATACGCAATTACAAAGACTACAAACCCTAAAGGCGCACATTTTCTCTCAGTGAATGAAGCTAACTTTACTGAAGCTAACGTCTGTCATTTCGTCTATAGTCTTACGTTATAATCGTAACGTTACGCCGTCATCGAGTGTTTTGTACCAGACTGCACACACACGAGCAGCGGATCTCGCTCGTTGTTTCGCTTCCCGGGAGATGTAATTCATTGAGCGATTTTCACATAAAACTAAATGTCACTCTTCTGTTTTATGACAAACTGCTAATTTCTTGACTTTCATAATTATCTTTTAAATTGACAAACATCATATGTGTAATTCAGGGCACAGTTCAGACGGAATAAAAAGATAAGTTGTCTCTCGCCATTGACAGACTACCATACATATTTTTTTCCGAAATAAGGTCCCATGAGCCGGAAGCGGAGGGGCGGGACTTAGGCTCTCTATAAACGTGGGATTATGAATTATATTGAGAACGTCGTACATAGAAAACATGCCGTAATGTACCCTGAGTGTAAACCTTAGACTCATTCATCGTGAAGCGTGCAAGCGATTTGCAAAGATATAAATATTAATATAAAGGTTAATAAAACATTACACTCACTTCAGTTGTTCTAGAGGTTCAGCAGGAACACGAATAGCTGGTACCGATCCTTTATTCAAGAGCACCTTCTTAGCAAAACCAGCTTTATACTGACCCTCCTTTATAAAGCAGTCTGGTGACAAAATGATTCGCGCAAACATGAGAGCATTGACGTTGCTCGTGGGGAATATTCCCTTCGTAAACAAACTCAGCCACTGCGTCTTCAGCGGTTCGAATTTAGGAACATTAAAATGACTGCTGTGTTCGTTATTACACCCAAGACCAGAACACCACAATCCCTTAGACGCCATTATGCTCATAGACAGTGCTCCAGCATATCAACAATGACCGCGCGGACTATGATTGACAGCTCCCTCACGAGCGAGGGCGGGTCTGTGTTGAAACACTGCTGTCAATCAACAATCGTGGGAGGGGCTTCCTAGCGTGTGACGTCACACGGTCGAACGGCTCGATTTGAGGCAGGGGAAAACATATAAGGAGATTAAAACAAAAACACTGGATGGATTTTTATCATTATATGATGGTTGTGTACAGGCACTGCCAACACACATTTCAGTACAATCAACTTGAAAAAGTGCATGTACCATTATATGACCCCTTTAAAGCATACTAAAAATACCACATAGACATATAAACAACATTAAAAGCTTGATTTTCACCAAAGGGGGACTTTAAAATCAATGTAGTTTTTTTTTTAATATATATATATATTTATATAAATATTAAATGCAATACAAAAATATACATATATACATTACAGTTTAAATAATAATACAGTAATGAGTTGGAGATTTGCATAAGATCTTTGAGAATTGTGGGAGTTAAATATCCATTATTTTTATTAAAATACTATTTTTTTGTGTGATACTGTGTTGAAATATGACCTGGATCTGTCTGTGAGCTTCACCTCTGTCTCACTCACAAAGGACGACTGGTGGAAATCAGCAGTGACTGAACACACTGAATCCTCACAGGCATCAGAGGAAGGTGTCAAGGGCCGAAATCCCCTCTTCTGGACATTCCCGGACTCCCAGTCAATGTTCATGGATATCAGGGCCTCCACAGCTTCTGAATGTCTCCTGTCTGTGCATGTCACACGCTGCTAGATGTGAAAGTACCGGTATATGGAAGAAAAGATCATGAATATAATGATATGGAAGAGATTATCATTTCTGCCTGCAATTGACAATTTGCATAACTTCACAAAGTAGCTAAAATGTAATACTTAAAAAAATAGTTCTTATATTCTTTTTATAATAATAATAATAATGTTTTATTTTTAATACTTTTTTGAAAATCAAGGTATTTTTATTTTAAAAAATGATTTTCATAATCATCAATTAATGTTTGCTAAATGGCTTTTATTCTAAAATAGCATTTAATAAACATAAATAAACAAATGAAAAAAATATAATAGAAATCAAACAAAAAGAAAGCATTAGCCAATATCTGCTCTCAGGCAAGTATGAAGTTAAACAGATTATTGATTAACTGCAGAAAGAATTAAAATTCTTAAACATAGTTTACTTACAATTTCAGATAGTGATGACATACTGATGCTGTATTATATCTCTCGTTTATTATTGTGACTGAACAACTATGTCTCATTATGATACTGTCACCGTTTCTTGAGCTTAGATTCATTCACATAATTATTTCAGAAAACCGAGCAGCGGCCGTGTGGGCGTGGTTTGATCTCCAGCCAATCATCGACAAAGGTGTGCTGAGCGTTAGCCAATGAGGAGAGAGTGTCGGTGCGTGATCAGTGTGTGATCCGCGCAGTGTGTGCGAGTGATACACAGACGGTCAGCTGTTCGTCCAGATATACAAACCGATATATCCCTGCTGAACCTGATTCATATTACTCTCATGTTTAATACAGCGAGCCCTAAAAAGGCGTTATTTGCATCATACCACTGTATAGCCTAATATCTTCATTAATTCATCATTATTTAACTAATGCTAAAGAAATTAGTGTTTCTCCATTAAAGGGATAGTTCACCCAAAAATGACAATTCTTTCATCACTTACTCACCCCTCATGTTGTTTCAAATCTGTATGAGTTTCTTTCTTCTGCTGAATACAAAAGAAGATATTTTGAAGAATGTTGTCTTGATGACAGGGTTTTTGGGTGAACTATCCCTTTAAAACCTTTGCATTCAGTCTCCCCTTCTTGAATATTTGATTAGCCAACATCCTTGATTTAGTAAAGCTGTTATATAACAGTTACCCAACAGTCCAAAGCGTAACATATCTATCAGGGATGCTGGGTTATTGTCTCTGCTGAAGCACATTCTGCACAAACTATATTCCTGATAACATTTTTTAATAGTGTTAAATGACACAGGCTTCCCTCTCCAGCATTAACGGGTCATCTGAGGCCTGAACTACTGGATTGAACCTTGCCCTAGATTTGTATGAGTGCATGTGTAGATCTTCTAGAGCATTCGGACTGAGGCCAAATACGCTTTTGCTCATGTACTTTACTCCACGGCATGAATGCTGATCTGGAATGTGTCACAGACAGAGTTATTTTGGTGACTTCTCAGTTGGTGATCATGTTACTACACATGTGACCACACAAACAAGCTTAAGCAAAGTGTGCAGATATTAATAAGTATTAAAGTCATCATGAAATCAAAATGGACCATTCTTATTTTTTATGGAATATTGCAGTATATAAATGATTTATCTGTGCACATCTTTTTAAAAATTTTTTTTTATTAATGTGTCTTGTAATCTTGAATCGAAATAACTTCCCCTCCCTCTTGCAGCTCTTCTCTTCCCTAATGATGTGTTTACTGGCGCGAGGGCGGGGCAACCTGTCACTCACATGAGATCTACCAATAGCAAACCCTCACAACCATCCAATCAATTCCCCATTGACAAATCCAGGTCCTGCCCTACATTTGTTCTTGTTCAAGAAGTCATTTAGGCCCTGTTTACACATGGTATTAAGATGCGTTTTAGTCGATCGGATCACAAGTAGACGAGGGAGACCCGTTTACACCTGGTGTTTTAATCCGTCTCTTTTGTCCTATTTCAACCACTTCTGTCCTGATTTCTCAGAGGGGAGGGTACATTTATGGGTTTTCCAGATCTTTTGATCTAATGGACAAAATAAGCTCGTTCAATTGACATAAAAATGCACCGAAGTCAACAGAAAAACATACTGAGCATCAGCTTTCCTTTCTGCTCTGACAGCCAAGACCAGGCGAACGCTGTGAGTGTGTGTTAGAAATCAGGAACGGTGAGAGAACATTGTGCTATATGTCGTTCGTCTTCAAACCAAACTTGGATCTTCAGCCGAAATGTTTACTCATTAAGTGGAGAGTCTTTTTGTGGCTGTTTGAACACATTCGACCACATGAGCGTTTACACTACGACAGCAATCCTGTCGAATGCGTTTTCAACTACCTCTGGAAGTGGTCAAAAGTGGACAAGCTCAAAACGTTTTAGACCCCATTTACACCTGTATTTAGCGTTGTCCACTTTGTAATGGTCTAGGGGTATGTTCCTGGGGTTTCCCCCGGAGCCCGGCAGTCACACAGAGTTTTATTCTTTTTGCGTTTCCCACTAAATTAAATATATTCATTCAAGGTAACCTGTGTCGAATGCATCCACAACACATTAGGTTACAGCCTGTGATCCGATCAACCAAAACGCATCGTAAAACCAACTGGGCCTCTTATATATGTCAAAATATGACAGAAAAGATGATCACAACTTCTGTTTCATGCTGACTTTATTTGAAACAAATAGTGACTGTTTATGAAATAAATTAAAACATGGACATTAAACATTGATTTGACTTTAATTTTTTTTATTATGCATGAAAAAAAGTGTGGACTAAAATGAAGAACATGCAGAGAGATGATATGAAACTATAGCACAGCTAAAATCAGTTTCCTGCGACAATGATCGATCAAATATTAGATGGAGCGACTGACCAATCAGGATTGAAGGAGCACATTTCATCCTGAAGCTGCTCACTATTTTTAGCCCACTGATTTTTTCCTGTTTGCAGATTCTCATCCGAGCACAAAGTGCACTAAACTCAGGCCCCCACATGATTCCCAGTATAGCATGTGACGTGTTTGCACAAAGTCACTTTTTAACTCACTAAACAAAGTTTTGGTTAAAAATAACATCTGACTGTACCTGTCTGCATTGATTGTCCTTGAGTGTTGATGTCATTGAAGATAAACTCACACAGATATTTAATGTCATTATCCTAAATGAAACCAGATATCTTCATTATACCAATAACCAACAATGGGTTAATGAACAAGATAATAGTCCAGATAACAAATACAATATCTTTGACAAAATGTATTTAGTCAGTCAGTGCCTGCTTGTATAATGAATGATGAACTTTAGAATATATAGTTTGCACAGACAACAGACCTTTTTAAAAGACACTTTGTATATAACATAAAACATAAAAATCATTACATTTGTTTTTAAGAACGAGGGCAAAGATTATTTTTTATTGGACATAATTTCATTCAAAAGAAATCAGAGATAAAACACAGACTATGTGGAGGGTGAGGGTAAGATGAGACAGCATTTTCTTCAGTTGTCCTGTATTTGAGCTGAAATAAAACAGAGTATTACTGTAATACTATATAGGAGAAAGTGATTTAGAAGGAAAACGCTGACACCTGCTGGACGTTACATGACATATTTACCCTGGCAAGCATTTACAGCTTTACAAATTATATTTTGGTGCTTTGCGATTAAAATAATGATTCAGAGATTTTGAATTAGCTATGCATTTATCTGCTCTGTCTCACTTTGCAGACTATTTGTGACAAAAAGTCTAAGACACTAATGAAAATATAGATTGCCCTTTTTCCATTAAACAAAATAATATAGCATTGCTCTTTTTTTAGCTTTACCATGTTCTGCTCCAGTTCCTGTGTGGTATTAATATTAGAACAGAAAGATGTAACAGAAAGGCGTAACATCTACATTAAGAAGGTTCAACTGACCTTTAATGTAGGCCATCTTAATTTTCATTACCAGCTAAAATCTCTTTAGAGCCCATCTTATTATTTTAAGCATTAGGGGATTTATCAGTATGCATTATGCAAAGATACATTACCAGTAAATTTTAAAGATACATTACCAGTAAATTTCCATAAAAGTACATTTTTTAAGCCAAATTTTTTCGCCCTGCAAATAAACAGAATGTTAGTTTTATTTGACTTTTATTTTAGTTATTTTGACAGTAAATTCAATGTAAATATGATTGCTTTGGTTTGCAAACCTCTGAAGTTACAGGTTGAAAAAGGTGAGTGTTTTTGTAAGTGAGGTGGGCATGGCAGCTTTATTCCAATGGGTGCACATACACCACAAAGCATCATGTCATAAGCATGCACACACACATGCACATGCTCGTGCACACACAAACACACTTTACTTAGCTATCTAAATGGGGACATTTCATAGAAATAATGGTTGTTATACTGTACAAACTGTGTACACTAATCCTACCCATCACAGAAAATGTTGTGCATTTTACATTTTCAAAAAACATCACTTAGTTTGATTTATAAGCTGTTTTCCTCATGGGGACCAAAAAATATCCCCACAAGGACAAGGATTTCGGATATTGCCATCTTTGTGGGGTGGGACATTTTGTCCCCATAATGTCGACAGGGTACAGGGTATACCTGAACCACACACAAACACACACATTTTTTTTCACTATATTAGTGAGGACATTGGATATACTTCCATTGATTTTATATCAGCTTTATTATATTTTCTTTGGCCTAACCCAAACCCTACCCCTAAACCTACCCATCACAGAAACACGTGCAAAACACTAGATTTAAACAAAAACATGGCCGATTCATAAGCCTTTTAACAAGTGAGGACCAGTAAAATGTCCCTTTTGGCCCTCAAAAGTATAGCCACAAACACACACACACACACGCTGTCAAAAATGTCGACTTTTTTACTTTTACGTCACAATTTCGACTTTTCAACTCATAAATATAACTCAGTACGCCATAATTCCGCAATTATGATTTACAAAAGAATGATTGTGTTTCGTATGTGACGGAAACGAGCCTCCATACCATAGATAACACGGCAATAACCATGAATTTATTTACTACAATGACTCAGATCACTCGACGCCAACACAATGACAACACATGGGAAATAAACCCTTGACCCCGCCCCTCTTCCATGTCTTTATCCCTCTCAGCCAATCCACTTCCCCAACACATGCTTTCTCTCAACCAATCAGCGTCGCCGTTACACGCGCATCCTTTCCAACAGACCCAAAGAAGCTTAAACAGAGTTAAGATGGCGGCATGTGGATGAGGAGGTTGTATATTTCAGCTCTTCGGTTGCTTTTGGCGAAGAAAACACATTCTCAAACCTAACCCGTAAAGAAAAGAAAAAAAAATCCCCCCATAAATTAATTTACCCGGGACCGTGTCCATGACGTCCATTCACTTCGTGGTTCACCCGTTACCCGGGACCGAAGACCAGCTAAATGACAGGTATTTATAAGAAAGAAGCGGTTTACAATCAGTATTTACCCCTGAATGAGGTGAAAGGGTTTTCAAAAAGTGTTAATAAAATATATAGAGTATTTTAGGTCTGTCGCAAACGCTCAAGGTTGGGCATTTGGGTCTAAAAATAACGAGGCCCGGCTGACTGGAGACACAATGCGGGTTGGGGGATGGGGAGGTGAAAAGAGAGGGAACTGCGATAAATTCACACTTTTACACCCCAAATAAAGACTTTTATTTCAAATGTACGCTTTATTTATTAGGTTTAACTTAAGTTTTTTATGATACGCCGAATGAATGTGAACAGAATTGGCGAATAAAATCCTCTCAGGTTAGCCGGTTAGCCCTTAGCACTCCGCGAGCTCATCTGTTTAATTAATTTATCCTCAATAAATTTGTTGGAAATTATATCACAATCACTGTTTTGACGGTTACCCGTATGGATTGTGTCATATCTAGGGTTGGATTGGTGAACAGTTCGTTATGACAGTTGCCTATAAACGCGAAGACACGATGTTTTCTGCTAAAGATTGTCTCTAGATAAAGAATTGCAATGTTTTGTGTTACGTTTTCATAGATCTTGAGCGGAGTTTATTTCGTTGTCATGACTCGTGACATGTAAAAACCCCATTCCGAAAGCTTTAGTTGTAACGTCACTGATAGATACTGTTTGTTTTACACTTGAAATCATATAAAGGAACTAATTTTAGTCAACTTGACTAGTCCGAATTATTCCATGCAGTTGGTCATGGAGGTGATTGCTATGGCTGATGACAGCTGCATGAGGAACCCATGTGTAGAGCTGATGGCCAGTGTAACACTGAAGGCATCTTTGGACAAAATGGGTGTTGGGATTCTGGTGTTTAATGATGTTTCAAAGCTGTGTGTTGGGGTCTCCCACTGCAAGTCTCCAAGCATTCCACTTTAATATACTACTACCCCACCAAAGATCCCTTAAAATGCTTATTTTGTTCTCAGTTTTGGCAATGTATAGCCTAATTGGCAGTCTCCTATCAGGCATACCATTAAAGAAAGGGTTATATAGCTAAATGATTATACAAAGTTTTAAATATAATTTTGCCTTTTGACACTATATTAAAACCATGAGACTTTACACAGATATATTTGTATGTTCATTATGAATATTTTATATTTAATTTGTGTAGTAACATTACAACTAGTAATTACTTTAATGAGCTCATTGTTTGTTTCCTTTAATTCAGGATGTTAGCTAACTGCATGATTTGTAATATCTTTGAACTGTACATTTCTGAAATATGGACATCACTTGGACACAATCACCTCTGATATAACAGATCACTTTAAATCAGTGTTTCCCAACCACTGTGTGTGCCATGACAATTTGTCAGGTGAGCTGTAGAAAATGATCAAATTCCTAAAAATAAATAAACTGTCAGTCAAACTTTATAACTCCACCCGCCTCTATTGTGAATAAAGATGCGGCTATTCCAGTGACAGACAATATATAGCCTGTCTGTCAGTCCCTGGTCAAAAACCTTGTGACTCCATTTGAGCTTGATTTTCATAAAATGTTAGGCTAATGACACGTTCAAGTGTCTAACCATAGCTATATAAAGCCACAATACCAACTTCAACGGTTTACACCCGACAGCGACATTGAATTAGTTGTTTTATCATCACCAACAACATCATATAACTACCTGTATGACCTTATTGTGTTCCTACCTAACTTAAGCTCAAGTTTCACATTAAATGTGAGAACTACTTATAATATAATATCTAGTTTTAATATGCCATTTGAAGCAGTGCATGTTTGTGGAATTTTGTCATTTTTATATAGTGGTGTGCGTTGGGAAACACTCCTCTAAATTGCAATGTATAGGTTACTCTGGCATGTATTTTCTGTAAAGCTGCTTTGAAAAATGTATTGTCAACAGCGATATACAAATAAATTTAAATTGAATTATAGCTAATATTATCCCTAAGACAGTAATGTTTTACTACACAACTGCACTGTAAAATAAGTGTAAATGAATAAATATTTTATAAGTATAAAAAAAATGTAACAGTAAAATGACACTACTTGTCTTAATTTCCTAAATAGTTACACAATTATTTTCATCTTTGTTTTGGGCTGTGTATAATGTTTAATATTAAAATTATATGCGTTGCTGACTGTGGCTTTTGAGTAATTGAGTATACTAATTAATTTGGGGTGCTGTTTTTTTTTTTTTACATATATGGTAATTGGTGTCATTTTTAGGCAATTGATAGTCATGATATTAAAGAATAGTAAGCATTTTTTTTGTTAGTGCATGGAAATGTCACATTTAGAATTTAAAATGTTGTGAACACTGTTTCATGCTGACTTTGTGCAACAAATAGTAATCATTTTCAACAAAGGGAAAACATGCATTGCATCAAGACTAAATCCAATTGAGCCATTTTGTTAGTAAACTTAGCACTCTACTACATATTATCATCTTGCATTTCTCGTTACTTTGTGTAGTTTGTGGTGTTCTTTACTATCTGTGATCCCCCAGACCGGATGTAAACTTGCACTAGTCATTAACGTTTCAGCTTGTATGCGGACACTTTCATCCTTCATTCTTCACTGATATGTCCTGCAATAATGAGCTGTGACGTGAAGGCTTTTCTGCTGCACAGCACTGACAGGAAACGAGGGACCTTTCTGCACACGTGTCCCCTTCAAGCTAGATTCAGCATGATCTCTGTAGCTGCTGCGCAAGGATATTCTGTTGCAGTATGTGTATTAGTCTATGTAGCTGATGTTGGGCTTTTAGTCTGTATCAGAAAGTAGTAAGGGGGTATGGTGATGTTGCAAAGCTTGCAAGCCAGAGGCTGTGTATGCATGTGTTACTGTTGCTTTGGCAATATTATATGTAAAACGATCATGCCAATAAAGTGCTTTAAGCCCCATTTTCCCCCTTATAGCATTTCCCCCTTATAGCATAATTCAGGGCTCCAGACTAACATTTTAGAGCAGTAGCATTGGTGGCACTAAGTTCCACAGATGGTGGTGCCATCTTTGTTTAATCATAAAGGCAATGTAATGCAAAAGGAGCACTCTTTTAGCCTGGGAAAACCCAGACAACTTCTGGCAAATTTAGATTTGCTCTGAAAGTTAGTCTGGCAAAGAGCTCATTCAAGCTCATTTCCAATCCACCGAAATCGCGGCACCAATCAGAAACGTTGGGGTGGGCTTTAGCCGATGACGACAGCGCTGGGATTTTGAAGCAGATTTTGTAGCCTACATTACAAAGACGGATGCCGCCGTCGAACATCACTCGTTCGAATCAGCTATCGCGTCTGTTTTAAGCGATTTGAACGTTTCCTTTTAGTTAAAAACCGAGCAAAGAACAACACTCGGAGATGTTTCTCCGCCACTCTGCATACGTCATCTCCTTCATCGCTCTGATTGGGTTTAGGTCTATCCGCGACGTCCGTTGGTGACGCCCCTCTGGAAATGATTTGTCTATGACGCTTTGCCAGACCATAGCTCGGTTACAACTAAGAATGGTCTGTTTTTAACCAGGCTAGCACTCTTTACTTGTTTACTGTGCAATTCAGTAACAATTTGAAGAAAAGTATTTTTTTTAGACCCCCCCCCCCCCCCCCCCCCCCCAAATTTAGAAAATGGCTAATAAGTCACTATGTGCTCCTCTACCACCATCTGCTAGTTATAGTGGTTATTTCATGTCTTAAAAAAAAAAGTTTGTTTGCCACTAAGTTTGAGTTTTCCTACATCTTTAAACTTAGTTTTACAAATCATCACTATAAAAATAACATTAAAATTGGATAATATTTAGAGCTTTGAGGTGCTGGAACAAGTGAAGCACTTTAAAGCCCTTACAAATGCTTGAATTTCACTCTTGAAAGGTTGTATGAACCCTAAGATGAAATGTAAAAAAAAAAAAAAAACATTAGACTGTTTCTGCCACAATACCATGCTTACAGTTAGCATTGCTACATGAAATCCATGGTGAATGTTGGTGATTTGTGAACTGAAAAGCCTTCTATAACTTATTTTTTCATGGCACAATGCTCACGGTTTCAATGTCAGTGCTGTTTGATATGATATCTGTGGTTTATTACAGAATTCTGAGCCGAATTTGAATGCTTCCCACTAGGGCTGGGCAAAAAAATCGATTTTTCGATTAATCGTTTTTTAAATGTGGTCGATTCAAAATCGATTCTCAACGGCCATGAATCGATTTTTTCCATATTCAGGGCTCGCGGTGCTGCGTCTTCTCTCTCTGCACAAGGCAAGCGTCAAGCGCTGCAGGCGTCGATACACACCAGAGACTATTTATATACACACTCGTGTTTAGGAGTCGGGATTCACTTGCACAATCGGGCCAGCATTGCATCGTAACTAACGTTTATCATTTTCACGTCTTTTTTCAAGCAATTTTAAACTATCCTGTGCTCGCGCACTCGTGCATGTTTTTCATTGCGTGCACATACAGTAAAGCCTAAATCCACCTCACAACAAACAGCTCGCCAGAAACAGAAGTTCTTTTTCGTGGATTATATCGCTTTAACAATTAAAAACACGAAAAATTATGTCAAAACTCTGGTCTTGGTTAGTAACTTTGTAAAGACAGTCGGTTATGTCTTAAATAAGCATAAAACGCGTGTGACAGACAGTATAATGAAACAGTAATGGATCCGTGCACTAGTTCTTAAAGTGAACGCAGCCATATGTGTCTGTCATTCATTTTGTTGTCAAAACAACATAATATATCATTAATTGTAAGGAATCAGAATTAATAGCCTATGTATTTAATTCAGTCAGGACTAAAAGACTATCCAGTGTTATTTTACATTGGATTACTTTATTCAGTTTCTGTAGTATTTCTGACCTACCCAAAAACTTTTCTTTTTATGTCTTTTTATTTGTCTTTTTAGGCCTATTCTATTGTATTTATTTGTGCTACTTTTTTCAATTTAATTCTCTTAATAAAAATGGTCTAAAAAATGAT